TTGGGCCAGGGTTTCTATAGGGGCCTCAATACTTACCGATACTGACTGTCGGGTTCCTTCATAATATTGTTTAAGATATGGTATGAGTTACCCCGAAAACCCTGTTCCAATTATTAAAGGCCCCACGATGCCTCTAGGGCGAAAGATCGAGTCGTTGCTGGTTCAGGGCTTGAGGTTTTAGGGGCCTATAAGGGTTCCGTTAAAGGGATCTATAATCGGGTTTAGGCTTTGGAGTTAGGGATGTGTCGGCCCTTGTTGATTCGATAAGTAAACAGGCTTCGGATTCAAGCGATAACTACAACGAACAAAAGTAGGATAATGGAAGGAGTCCTAGGCCCTAAGGAAAAGAACTAACTGTCCAGGCTTCTACATTAGGGTCGTGGCCGTGGTAGAGAAGCTCGGCGATTCGTCGAAGTATCATCAGGTGATTTAGCAGACCAGCGAGCCCATATGGGAGCTTCCGAAAACAGGGGACCCTAATATGGTACCCTAAACAGTAGGATCCTTATTATAAGGGTTCCAAAATATTGGAACCCTAATTTTCGGAAACTCCCTTCATGTACGATTGTGGAACTATACCGCGAACCACTGCAGGACGGCCTAATTCTATAATGGTACGTAGTGACCTTGATATGGACCCTCTCGGTAGGTTATGTTTGGGCCTTGCTAAACCCTAAACCCTAAACTCCAAACAGAACTCAAGAGGGGCGACTGATAGGGTCATGAGGCACAGCTAGTAGGTTGTAGATTTGTGTACTAAGTATCCACACTGCTTGCTACGTAAGAATCAAAACTCTTTCGAAGCCTCTCTGTCCGTCATTCTAAGGCTTACAACCCTAAACCCTCAATCCTGACGACTTGGCCTGGAACTCCCGAAGCCCGAAGTAGATACCACCTAGTAGTCGTCGTCGCAGCGCATGCAGCAGGAGCAGGAGCACGAGCTGGAGCTGGAGCAGGAGCAGGTGCAGGAGCGGGGGCAGGGGCAGGGGCAGGGGTACGGGTACGGGTAGCAGCAGGATAATAAGGCTGGGTTGAGCGCTAAGTTACCTCAAGCTGTTAGAGACCCCGAAAACCCTGGGCAGAAGGAGGTTGCACCACAGCTGCCAAGCACCTCGCGGACATGGCGCGATGCTCGGATGTTTACTGCCAGTCTCCTACCCTAAGGGTCCATGTACTCATATAGTATATACGTTGGCCTTAATGTAGTCCCTATATAGGTACTTTGGGGCTCATGTATCTGTATATGGGTACATGGACCCTTAGGGCTATTTACCCAGAGCCCAGAGCATTGATTTGACCAAATGTTCAGATCAATGAAAGTTCGGGACTTTCGGGGTGGCTTGTCTAAATGCGTAGGTTGGATTTTGGGACAGTTTTTATTTTCCTTATTTGGGTATATAAGGGACCCCATATATAAATATTTTTCATGGTGTTTAAAGGCCAACCCAGATGCGTAGAAGGAGAGCGCACATGGGAAGCCATTCAGCAGCAACCGTCGTTGTTCTTCGCATCTAGCCCGTCGTTGCGTAAGGAGGAGCCAAATTCACCATCGTTCATGTAAACCTGAGCTAGTCGCCATTGTGCCCTCACTGTACCCAGAGACTCCAATATATATCCCTTAATTAAGGAATATTCCTAAAATCATACAAGGGATCCTACTATAATTTAAGGTATATTCCTTAATTAAGGCATATAGGAGTCTTAGGGTAACTTTCTCAGCGCTAAAGGAGCTTGTGGAGCTTTTTAAAGCAGTTTACGCACTACTTATTAGTTGTAAACTCAACTTTTCAACTTTTGGTGCTCTTGTAACTTATAAGGTAGTCGATTCTGTGGGTCTTGGCCAGTGAGAGTACGGGCTGATCCCCAAATCTCCAGCAAGCAATTTTTTGTTCACTCAGACTCTATAGTCCCCATACATTCCCAATGGTCAACCTCTAGTGCTGCTGGTAAGTTTTGCTCGCCACCCTAAACCCTAAACCCTAAACCCTAAACCCCGAAGCCCTAAACCCAAAGTCACTGGATGGATCGGTCAAGAGAGGTTCTCCCATGAACTCCTGTACTAGGTCCCTGAGTAGTACCCTTTTGCCCTTTTTGTTTTAGGTTTCGTTATTAAAACAGAATAGTAGGAAAAAGGGTAGCCTTATTATAAAGGGATTACTCAGGAACCTAGTGTAACTAGATATCTTAAAAGCCTTAGTTAAAGTAGTCCCCATGTCTGTACAGTTTTGGGGACCAGCTGTATACTACATGGGTACCGGGACCCTTGCTGACAGGAAGAAGCAGATTCTGCTCGTCTCAGTAGTAGGGTCAATAGCCTTGGATTCTTGTAGTACTGTCTACCTGTCCCCGAGAAGACCTATGTACCGATTAAGGTTTCCTTATGCTTTATGGTTTCTACAGGTAGTTCTTTGAAAGGGTAGGTCTCGTGAGCCACTAGTAAACCCTAAACCCTAGACCCGCCCTATCGTTCACTTTGAAGGATGGTCCTACCGGTCCCTCAGCTCTGTACAGCAGACTCCTCCCTTTAGGAACTCTTAACGCTAACCAAGCAGAACGGAAAGAGCCCATAGCAAGTAAATAAATATCATCCCCAAGGCTACTGTAGCCTTTGTGCCCGGGAAAGTGGAGAAGTGAGGTTCGTATTGGCTGTAGACCCAACTTTTCAACTTTGGGGGCACTTTAAAATAGTCGATTCTGAAAGTTTCGATATTTCCTTGGGTTTTGGGCCAGTGAGGTTCTGGGCGCATCATTGAGACGGGCACCGTGGCAAAGGAGATGGCCCAAAGAAGACGAGTGCTATGGAGCTCCTGTTGATCTGTGTTCAACGGCTGCCGCCTGGGTACTTAAAGGCTCATGGGACGTAGTAAGTAGATTATAATTGGGGTTATTAGTCCCCTAAGTGGGGTTATCCTGATTCTAAGCTACTTACAACCTCATCTACTAAGTCCCCAGAGCCTTAAGTAGTTGTCAAAACTAAGATACCTTTCTGGGTGCCCTAAATAATAGGTGCCGTGGTACAATAGGGACCCAACAAGGGACCTTTATTTTGACAACCACCCACCTGTGGTTTCACCTCTTCCGGACCTTCTCCGAAATACGCATGGGGAAATGAAGCTCGATGTGCTGCAGGGGACTTGCAACCAGTAGGAATGCAGTATCTAGCATCGCAGTAACCGTCTGAGAAACGCCTGCAGAGTGTTGCAAAGCGGTGTCCCGCATGAGCCATGTAGATGTTGACGGCGTGCGCGGCCTTTTCTTGCCATGTTCAAGCTCGTGTTTGAAACCCTCAGTCCTAAACCCTAAACCCAAACCCTAAGACCCTAAAACCCTCAAAGGTGTTTAACACTTCTCCATCCGGCGCCACGGAAGCGATCAGATTTTAAACAGGTGCCCATTTATCAGGATGTCAGATGCAGATGCTAGGTAGGCCTTTGGGACATTTTATATTTTCCCTTATTGGGCTTAATAGGACCCTATTTACGAATCTTTTTCAGAGGCTTTAACTTACCGTTGGTTAGTAGGGAATGGAAGAATGGTAGTAATAGTAGTTATAATTGTACCCCATTCCTCCATTCCCTACTAACCAACGGTGAGTTAAAGGGCCAACCAAGGATGCAGTATATGATGACGGTCGTCGCCTGCGCAGACCCGACCATTCCTCTTTCGAGGAAGCCCGGCGTTGCGGACACTTCCGTCGCACCACAGCCGGGCAACTGCTCATGGGGTGCGGCATGATCTTCAACGACGGTCTCAGGACTCTTATGGCAGCTGGCGGAAACGCCAGCTGCCGCTTTCCGACGAGAGAGCAGGTGCAACTTGCGGGTAAAGCTCTTTTTGGAGCATCATGCGAGACAGATCACGTGGATGTCTTTGTTGGACATTCTTGGAGTGCCGGGCGCTGGCAAAAGTTCCTGGCGCTCTGCCTGTACTTCAACCTGCAGATCGCACTTTGGTGCTCCGTCGGCACCTGGATTGTAACTGTATTGCTCCTGTTGGGATTGGGCGGGTTGACGTGTTTGGGCGGCAGCTACCTTGCCCTTCCGTGCCTCGTGTACCTGCCAATAGCTGTGTTTTTCCTTGCCCTCCTGTTTGGGCAGCAACTCCTCGATGGAGTATATGGGTTCGGATCACCTTCCATATGGCTGGACAAGCTGTGTGTCCACCAAACAGATCTGGAGCTGAAGGCAGCACAAATAGCAGCTCTACCCATCTTCGTTGCGCACTCCAGCCGCATGCTCATCTTATGGGACGACACCTACTTTGAGCATTTCTTGTTTCCCAAGTAATATGTTTTGGTTGCAAGCATTGAAACGAAAGCCGTTAAATCCATGATGACGTTTTCAGCCCTCAGTCATGCTCATGAGTGATTTTGGCCTCTGACCTATGCAACACTCAGAAGTCGCAGGCTAGTGTACCATCTGAACATAGATTGGGCCGGCAAGGACGTGCACCTCCCCCGCCCAAACGATGGCATCTTTCGGGGTAGGGTCGCTTTCTTGGTGGCATCCCGATTGACACAGACCCTCATGGGCAGGTCGCACAGATCTGCTACAGGTGTAAGTAAATGTGAGCTTTTTACCTCAAGCCACACCAGAACTTGTGCCGTCCATCAGCAAGATACAAGGCGCTTTCCTTTTTGTTCCGCCGGTAAACTCAGGTTTATGGTGCAATCTGGAGCTCGCAACGTTTGCACAGTACCGTGGTGCAGAGAAGGTGGACGTGATGCCTTTATGGCTGGCTCCGTGGTTGCTTTGCTCAATCCTCCTAGACCTTCTGAGCGCCAGCCTCTTTGAGCTATTGGAGCACGTCTTTCCCAATTGGAGCGCGGCATGGATGCTTGAAATCATGGGCATCCTAGAGAGGGTCCTTGGGAAGAACCCAGCCATGCTGAAGTTTGCAGCCTGGTTCGTCATCTGGATGATGTCCAGTATTGTCTATCTGCCCGCATCCATACCTAGCTTCTTCAGAAGTTTCAAAGCCATCGGCTTATGCTAGACCAGATGGCAAACTTCGACGTCCGCGCTGCGCAGTGCACCCTGCCGCTTGATCGTGCGGCGATCGAGCAGCAAGTGCAGGAACTCTTTCAACAAAGTTATCCGTCGCGCAGCAAGAGCCAGTTGCCAAGCCTTGTCGACGATGGCGAAGTATGCATTCAGAAGCTTCATCCCGTGACAGAAGTTGGACTTGATAGCTTGGACCGATTCAATAGCTACATCCGAGGGACCTTACGTGAGTTCGTCATAGCACAAATCGGCCACGAAGTGTACGTGCCGTGGCGAGTTTGCCTGATAGCTTTCCTGCCGATGATCTTTTACAGCTCGGTGAACATCTTAGGCTGCGACAATGGACCCTGCGAAGAATCTGCACGGCTGGCTGGCTACAATTCGGTGGCGCAGTACATGGCTGTGCAAGCCATCGGGTGGAGCCTGTGCATCGTCACAGCGTTTCCCTTGACCTACCCGATCCTCCTACGCATGGTGAAATGCGTGCTCTCTCATGGCGAGGGTCCTGCGCAACTTATGGTTGCGTTTTTGTGCTGCCCCTTGGCCTACCTTTACAGCTACATCTGCGGAAGTTTCATCTGGGCGGGCCTCATTTCTCTTGTGGAAAACTACTCGACGATTCAAGTAGGGGTGTTCATGTTCATCATGGCCCTCTTGGCGTTGCAGATGAACCTGCTGTTTTCGGTCAGCAGCAAGGATGATCATGATTACATGTCCGCTTCGTGCCGTTGCATCAGACGGCAGGAGGCTACTTATGATGCGCTCCACCATCCCTGCCAGGAGGATCATGGGACTTAGTAAGTAAGGTTATAAGTACCTTAATTGGGGTTATAAGTAACTATAAGTGTAGTTACCTTAAGTAGAACCCCAGTTACTAAGTCCCAGGATCCTTTAAGTGTTGATGCTCTTCGCAAACCTAGGACTGTACCATAGAGCCGCTTGTTCATCGCACACCATACCAGGCAATACTATGCCGTTGAATGTACCGTATCAAAGGGGAAAAGGAGGGACCCTTAATGGGGACCCCTACCCAAAAATGGACTATATAATGGGTGTATAATGGCTATATTAAGGGTATATACCTAGGGGTCCTTATTCAGGGTCCTTCCTTTTACCCTTGGACCGTAGGCGTACAGTTTTGGAGTCGACCAGACAGTATGTTACAATGCAGACAACAGCCTAGGACGCGCAAGTAGCCCCTACGGTATCCCAAATACCCAACTGTTATGGGCCGAAGGACTCCATTGTCCTGCAGTATACTATATCGGATCCGAAGCCTCGAAGACGTTTCACCTGCGCAAAGATGCATCCTAAGACTCCGTATTTCCATAGCAGTGATCGAAAAGTTGCCTTCTATAGCATGATCAAGATTACGATTGTCGCATAAATCTAGTATTGTAATGTAAACTACAGACGGCGCAGTAGAGTAGAGTCCAGCCGACTGTAGTGTTAGCATAGCTTCTCCAATCTTTCAGAAGCCTCAAAAAAGGTTCAAGCGAGCTGGGAGTAGCTTCACATGATTCTGAGCCAGTCAATGCTGGCGCGGTGTCCATCATTGCGTTCGTCGCGGTCGCCTCACCACTGCCTGGCTCGCCCAACCCAGGACGTGAGCGGTCACAAAAGGCGGCATGCTTCTGGGTAGTACCCTAAGACTCCAAAATGCCTTAATTAAGGAATATACCTTAAATTAGAGTAGGATCCCTTATATGATGTAAGGAATATTCCATATTTAAGGGGTATTGGAGTCTCTGGGTATCTTAACAAGAGCCCGGAGAATGTCATACAGTTGATCGGTACCTTACTAAACCGACATTATAGAACCGCGCCCTTTTGGATTGATCTAGATTTCAACACTTCTAAATCTGCAGGAACTAGCCAAATCTTCATTTTTGAGAGTGTGAGACATGTTGGTTCCTTTCCACGTGCCCAATCGCGCAAGTTCCAAATAAGAATTGCTGACCCTTGGGAATTAAGAGTCTATATTATGGCTACTTCTCAGGTCCTCATATATCTATCTTATGAATATTACTCAACTATTACTGAGTGGGGCCCTAAGTACCCAACCTAAACCCCAAACCCTAAACCCTAAACCCTATACCCTAAACCCTAAGCCCTATACCCAACCTAAACCCATGAAGCACGGGAAAGCGAGTCTACGAAGCCAACTTGAGATTTCGGAGCAGCCCTTGTCTGCCCTGGCACTCCATAAAAGCCTTACACTTGGAGGGTCATGGGACTTAGTGAGGATTCTTAAAGGGCTCCTTAAAGGGATCTCTGGGAACCCTTAAAGGGGTCCATGGGGTTTAGGGTTTAGGGTCTACTTGGAGGATCATGGGACTTAGTAAGTAAGGTTATAAGTACCTTCATTGGGGTTATAAATAATTATAGATAGGTGCATTGTTACCTTACTTATAACCCCAGTTACTAAGTCCCATGATCCTTTAAGCAGGGTACAGGGATTCGGATTAGGGTTATGTGGACAGCCCCGCCCCAAGGTTTTAAACCTGGCAGCCTGAGTTGTTGGTTAAGGCCCACTGGCTAAGGGTCCAAAGGACGCAGTAATTAGGTACTCAGCTTCGATAGTAGGTATGTAGGTTACTATGTGGGAAAGTATATGATTATTGGGTACTTGGACCCTCCCCAGCAGTACCGTTTCGCACTTTTCCTCCGTATAAAAGCCCAGTATTCGGAACAAAGGTTATCCGTGTTATTAAGGTGCTACTGGGGAACCTCGTTTACCTACGTGCCTATAGTCTCGATTGTAGTTTCTTTCCGGCAAATCAAACCAGGTTTCAGAGCTAAGGGTTCAGGGTTGTGCTTGGAGGTTCATGAGACTATGCAAGTAAGGTTACAAGTAAGTTAGTTGTGGGATAAACGGTTACAAGATACTATAATCATAAATACGAATACTAATATCAATAATTACTACGTCCCATTGAAGTAGATTCCATTGTAGTTCCGTTTTGGTCAGCCACATGCATGTTACAGAATTATAGGATCACAACCACAATTAAGGGGGTACTGCAAACAGGAACTAGAATGGAGACTGTAGGTGGGCCCTGAAGTCTAGCACCTCGTCTTGGGTAACCGATTTCATGCTTAGGATCCTGCCGAAAGAGACAGTGCAATGCATCATCATCACCACCGTCGTCATCATCATCATCACCAGGATCATCACCATCGAACATGAATCACGGACCAAACACAGAAGGCGTCAGATTTTCTGCATTCTTGGCTCAAGGCAGCAGTTTGTTGCTCTGGAACAGAGGATCTTGGATACTTATCGTGTCTCTCCTCTGGTCCCAGTTTCACCTCAATGGCAAGCATCACAGTTCCGGACACGCAGCCGCCAATGCTGTTCACAGCTGCACGTCTGCAGCAAAGTTCACGAACCAAAACAGCACCCATGCATGAATTTTGGGTGGGATATCCCTGCCGTGTTGGCCTAACAAATGAGGTGGATTTTTGGATAGTCCAATCCTGTGGCATTTGTTCAGGTCCCTTTTTGGGGGGCCCTAAAAGACTAAGTCGTGTGGCGTGTTACATGCAAGCTGCAAGCCCTGCAAGCCCTTTTCGTCTGCCAATGTGTCAGCAGCCTTTACCTAAAGCTCATCCTGATATGGTCATGTCTTCAGTGGCCGCATGCACTAGCACTGTCTAGCACCTCAGGGCTTCAGAAAAATATTGTTCTGAAGTTCTCCCGGAGAACAAGCTTGATCAAGTTTCTTTATGAGCTTGTGCACCGTGGGATTTTCAATGTCGGGTATGATTGTTCTGTTTGACCTATTCACGATGTTGGCGAGTCCAGCATTGCGTTGAAGTACTCATTCGTTCTCATTGTAAAATGGGTCCACAACGCTGCTGGAGTAGTGTACAGGCATTAGTATTTATAATAGGGTTTGGGGACTGTAAATATTCGAATAATACAGTTATCATAAGGTCCCCCAAAACACTATTGTAATTATTGAGGCCCCTGCATTAAGCTTCTATCATCCTTCTTCGACGGGTCCTGCGTGGAATTGCCATCATCATGTGCATGCATTCATTCTTTGACATTTCCAACCTGCTTTTAAGTTTGCAGATACCTCTGCCATCTCAGGATTCGGCAGAGTTCGAAAAGAGTGAGATGCAGGCACAGACCAGCGGTGTCAGAAGCCTTGCATGCTCAGCATTTCGATCTCAGCCGGCCATCCCCGAATCCACTCGCATATTACATGAGTAGAGAGTGCAAAGTTCAAAAGGTCGAGAGCTTCTGTGATCCCCTGCTATAGGGCCTTAATAACTACCTATACTTTTTGGTGGTTCTTGATTAGAATTATAGTATAATGGGCCCAAAACCCTATTCGAACAATTAAACTACTAAGGCCCCTCTGTTAGTTCAGTGGACTTCCCGCTTCTACATATCGACCGAGCCTTCAGGAGCACGAGACTGTGGAGGATCTACTTGCAGACACTTGCCTCATGCACTCGAGTCTGGTGGGTCAAACCCTAAACCCTGAACCCATTACCCCTGAGATAATCGGAATGAGTTGACTACCAGGAGGCACTCTTCCCCGAGAGTGTTTCAATTTAGAACAGGGCCTTGGGTTATGTTGGGAAGCAAGTCTAAGTATCATAGGTTTTTTACATCAAAACGTTTTGATGTTTTTTGAGAAACCCATTCTTTAAACAAATATTAGTTAGGGGAGCTCAGTCCTTGCGGCTTGACCCGGATTTTGCCTTGGGGCTCCTGATTCCTGATGATATTTCGACTAGAGTATCCTCCCCCCCAAACCTACACCCTGCCCTAAGTCCGAGTAATCCCTAAACCCCTAAACCCTGAACCCTAAACCCTAAACCCTGCCCTGAGTCCTATTAATCCCTTGTTGGGCCAGTGCGGATGGCCGCCGAGCCTCGGTTCACTTCCCCCAGCCTTCTTCCACGGACCCACTCTCGGACCTCCTTTCCAACAAATTCGGCAAGAAGAACGACCAAGTCTGGGTTCTGCTTTAGTAGCTTGAACTTTCACATCATTCTGTCGGTTCGGTTAATTCCCTAAACCCTAAACCCTGAAGTGTTTGTGCCCATGACGCCATCGCCAGGCCCCAGTCCTCAAGACACTCTCGTCCTGGAAGAGTCGTAGGAGTTTAGGGTTTAGGGTTTAGGGGAGTAATCCTCGCAGGTTTTAGGGGGGCACCTGTATGTTTACTCTGTCATTATATTAGACGCACTGTGAGGAATGATATCAGTTACTAAACGTGTTCGAACAAGTGAACAAGTGGGCCGTAAATGTATATATACAAATTGCATGTGCGCATCTTTCGCGAACGTACCAGCTTGCGTGCCAGAGACGACTCGCCTTACTAAAAAGCGACATGTAAAATCGAATACATGCAGATGTACTTGCCATCAACACGGCAGATTCGAACACCATCGTTAAGTATCGGTATTGACGGTGTTTAAGCTCATTGGCTCACCTGCGAGCTTGGTTCTATGACCGTTTTGTTGTAAGTTGCGAGGCACTGTCAGATGTTTATATACACCTTCAGGTTTGAAGTGTCGTCACACTAGCCCGCTGGATCTTGCTGAAGAAGCAGGGTGCTGAAAAGAGGAATTGGTCCGCCGCATGTGATTGTGGTGGGGAAATGCTACTATAGATAATCTTCCGGACGGAGGATTGTGGTGAAGGAATCGTATGGAAGAAGGGGTTTTATTGCAGAGTGCGCAAGACCAACATGCCATAGTGTGACGAACTTTCGTGCTGCCGAGGAAAACACACATTGAACACATAAGACATGGATGGACAAGTTAATGCGCAAACCCTCGATATGACTGGTGTCTCTCCTTCCCTCTTGGTCATCACAAGGGCAAGAGCCTTTGCAAGACCGCTTTTTATGTTCTCTTCGCCACGCGCGCAATGGGCTCTGTCTCTGTCTCTCTCTCTCTCTCTCTCATTTTCTCTCCCGCTCATGTACAAATAGAACGTATGTTCATGTGCATAGTCATGTATATAGTTGTAATGATCACTCTGTACATGGACCCTTAAGGAAGGCTGCACCCCAAGACTACCTCAGGATTTGCAGGCCCTCCACGGCAAGCTGGTCGCAGTGCTTGGTTTCGATGCTGTGCCCTGGCGCAGAAGGGTTTGTCTGTATATGCGTAGGATTAGGGTTTAGGGTTTAGGGTTTACATGCATACAGGGCAACGAACACATGCAAAAGCACTTGACAATGTGATTATTTGAAATCGTGCTTCTACCGGACTGTGGCGGGTACTTCTCTGCCTGCATGCTTGCACAGAGCGAGGCTATGAGAACGATGACACTATGTGGCATTTCCGAAAATTAGGGGTACCTGATTTTGGGGTCCTTATAATGAGGATCCTACGCTTTAGGGTACTATATTAGGGTTCCCTGTTTCCGGAAACTCCCATTTGCTGCATACCCAGCTCAAGATCCCCCCATGCCTGACCTGCTTGCCACCTCGACCCTCGTGGCAAACCCCAAGGCAGCAGTTAACACCACCCGACCCTGCGCTACCCCAAGCTTCCAATATGCTCATCTGTCGGTTCTCTTTCTCTCTCTCTCTCTCTCTCTCTCTCTCTCTCTCTATATATATATATATATATGCACAGTCTTTTGCTGTAACTCATATCTGTTTGTATATATATATATATGTATATATAAGTACAGATAGTTATATATGTAGAGAGAGATGAAAAGATATGTATACATCTAGTTAACTATATCTAGTATAAACATAAACGCTTCCGTGTAGCGTTGGTGTTAACAACAGACAGAAACATTGAATCAGCCAACATGAATCTCAGATAAGGATATAACATGTTTGAATGTCCATGTGTACGCATTTACTAAACGTATTGTGAACCCTTAATATGTTGGTATGTGATTAGCAAGGTAAGTAAGGCAATTCAACAAGTGCGTAGAGCACAGAGGAAGCAGATGTGCGTGTATATGCATGTATATTTATGCATGTGCTTTATATGCATACATATATATATATATATATGTATATGTATGTGCATGTATGTGCATGTATGTGTGTGTATATATATATATATATATATGGTCCCCCCCCCCAAGATCCACACCCGCCTCTTCCATGCTATTTCACAGGTTGTTTCTCTACATTGGTCGACAACTGATATATACCGAAAACACCGTAAATACCGATACAATCGTGCTTTACCTCATGTGCATGCAAACCGTGCTGCTGCAAGGCGCGGGTTTGATGTGTGCAAAAATCTGGCGCCGAATCTCGGCCGCGGATTTATGGTAGTTTATGTGTTGGAGAAGCTGAAATGCTGGAGGGCGTGCTAATTTTGTTCATGCAATACTAAAAAGCCTCGTGTTTTTTGCATTTTATGGTGTGTTATTTATCAACATTCCTCTAATAATAAAAATACTATGGTCTCTCTTACGAAGACGTCTGCGTGCGTGGGCCATCTCTTTCCCGCTGCTCGTGAAGCGTCCGATTCTGATGCGGCCTAATCGCTCTAGCATTTGATTTATGAGTTACGAAATAGAGAGGTCCTTTCATGTCCTGTCCATTCTACATGAAGGAAGTCGAACATACGGGCGCGTTTATTTTTGAAGCAATACTCCAATAGTTGTTCTTTGCCTCATAAGAAATGGGAAAGCTCCCCTGGAGTTGAAAGGTTCATGTGCATATGCGGGCGCACAAGAAGGCTCGTCTGCAGCAAAAAGTAAGAGAGCTCTTGCAACCTTCCCCGCATGAAGCAGGACTGTTCATACTTATCAAACAAGAGCAATGAAAACCGTTGCTGTTCCAGAAGGCACATAAAGCAGTACTTCCAGTCCTTGACAACGGTTGAAAGCACCCAATTATCTTGTGATGCAGTATATCTTGTCCTGGACATCAGAAAACACTGTAATGCTCAAAAAATTCCAAAATTTCCAATGCTCAAAAAATTCCAAAAATTCCAAAGTTCTGGCATCTATGGCCAGGACGGGGGCAGATTCCTTAAAACTTTGGAATTTTTTGAGCATAGCCGTGTTTCGTGCGTTTCAAGACTTGGAAAAGTTGATTTTTTTTGAGCATTAATTACAGTGTTTTGTGAGTTTTACAGCACGAAACACTGTTATGCTCAAAAAAGTGGGCTTTGAGGCTGTGAAAAGTTGATTTTTTTGAGCATTACAGTGTCTTGTGAGTTTTAGACCACGAAACACTGTTATGCTCAAAAAAAGTGAGCCTTGAGTCTGTGAAAGGTTGAATTTTTTTTGAGCATTACAGTGTTTTGTAGGTTTTAAACCACGAAACGCTGCTATGCTCAAAAAATTCCAAAATTTCCAACCTTGAAACTCACGAAACACTGTAATGCTCAAAAAATTCCAAAAAATCCAAAATCCTGGCATCTATGGCCATGCCGAGGGCAGATTCCTTAAAAGTTTGGAATTTTTTTGAGCATAGCAGTGTTTCGTGCGTTTCAAGGCTTGCAAAAGTTGATTTTTTTTGAGCATTACAGTGTTTCGTGGTTTGAAACTCACAAAACACTGTAATGCTCAAAAAAATCAACTTTTCACAGCCTCAAAGCCCACTTTTTTTGAGCATAACAGTGTTTCGTGCTGTAAAACTCACAAAACACTGTAATGCTCAAAAAAAATCAACTTTTCCAAGTCTTGAAACGCACGAAACACGGCTATGCTCAAAAAACTCCAAAGTTTTAAGGAATCTGCCCCCGTCCTGGCCATAGATGCCAGAACTTTGGAATTTTTGGAATTTTTTGAGCATTACAGTGTGTTGTGAGTTTCAAGGTTGGAAATTTTGGAGTTTTTTGAGCATAGCAGTGTTTCGTGGTTTGAAACTCACAAAACACTGTAATGCTCAAAAAGAATCCACTTTTTACAGCCTCCAAGCTCACGAAACACAGCTATGCTCAAAAAATTCCAAAGTTTTAAGGAATCTGCCCCCGTCCTGGCCATAGATGCCAGAACTTTGGAATTTTTAGAATTTTTTGAGCATTGCAGTGTTTCGTGAGTTCTGGGGTTGGAAAGTTTGGAGTTTTTTGAGCATAGCAGTGTTTCGTGCGCCCCATGCCCCAAGAACCACGATGGCGTGGATCTTGGGGGGGGTGCGAGCTATATGGTGAATATATATATATATATATATATATATGTATACATAAACATATGTATACAAATATGCATATATGTAAGCAAACAAGCATGCACATAGGTGGAGCTAACATGCACAATGTCTGTATGCATGAGTGTAGATTACCTATATGTTTATATCACTGTATATCTTTGCATGTGCATATGTATAGATATATTCGCATTTCGATATTTACATACGTACATACATACACGCGTACGTGTACAAGGGGGCTACCAATTATCAGCGACAGACAATGACAAGTATTTAGTTCATTTCTATTCGGAGCCTCAAGCCATAATAGCTCCTACGGTTGATTTTATAAGCCCTTGCAATACCCATAATAAAAAAAACATACCATAATTCGCATAGTTTGGGGTCCTTAAGGCAATGCAGGGTTGATATCATCAATAGTATAGAAAGCCTGCATTCTACTATGAAGGTATTTCGGCCCGTTGGGCATCCCAGACCGTATAAACCCTAGAAGCCTTAAACCCTAGACCCTATAAACCACATAAACCCTACCTTAACCTTGAAAAAGCCTACCTTTCTAGGGTTCCTTATTATGATTTCTTTATATAAGCCCTTAAAAAGCCATGTTATTCGGGGTTAAGGTATACCCTATAAACCCTATAAGCCCTATACCCTAAACCTTAAAGCCTAAATCCTATAAATTCTATAAACCCTATACCCTCTAAACCCTAAACCCAGACCAGAGGTCCGAGCAGAGCAGCAGGTCTCGCCAGGGTACCTTGGACTGTCTCGCCGGTTTGTAAGCTTTACGGGAGTTTGCGAAAATTAGGGGTACCGTATTTTGTGGTCCTTATAATACGGATGAACCCCCAGTTACCTACAGTTTTACGGACTTATATAAAGAACGTATCCGAAAAAGGGTAGGTTCCTTAGGGTCCAGGTAGGACTATAACGGTTTAGGGTGCAGGGTTTAGTGTTTATAGTCGTAAAACTTGGATACTTTGGGGTTTAGTGCCCAAAATTATGGTCCCTTTTTGGGTCCCTATTATAATACGGCACCTATTATTTACAGGGTACCCCAAAAGGGACCCTAAATTTTCCGGGTTTTTGGTCTGGGGCTGGGAGCGCCAGGATACTTAGGGTACTATATTAGGGCCTAGTCTAGGGTTTAGGGAACAGAGACTGTAGATGGGAGTTTCCGAAAGTTAGGGGTAGCTTATTATGGGGTCCTTATAATAAGGAGCCTACTATTTAGGGTACTATATTAGGGTCCCCTATTTTCGAGAAACTCCCAAATCCTAAACCCTTATAGAGCCCTTTACAGGAACCCTTATGGTAGCCCTATATTAGCCCATTTAACGGAACCCTACTGAAAGGCTCATGGGACTCAGTAAGTAAGGTTATAAGTAGGTTTATAATTAATTAGGATAACCCCACTAAGGGGACTTATAACCCCAACTATAACCTTCTTGCTAAGTCCCAAGATCCTTTAAGTACCGAGTTGGACGAAGATTGTGCGCTACGTTTGGTTGGAGAATATTGCACGAGGAAGAAAACCAAAGAACCCTTACCTGATTGATGCGTCGAAAACAGGCATCCTCATCCGAGGGTTTGCTAAAGTCATGGTCACATTTGGAGTTTTGGCTCCGGTCGGCGAGCCCTTAGTCGCCAAACCATGGTGATTTCGATTGTCCACGATTCCAAGGACATGCCCTCAAGGTATACTCAGAGGGGAAAAGGAGGGACCCTTATTGGGGACCCTTAGCCTGTAATGGGCTATATCATCGGTATATAATAACTATATGAAGGGTATAATACCTAGGTGTCCTTATTAAGGGTCCCTCCTTTTACCCTTGGATATACTGTGGTTTTACAGTCGCTGTTTTTCAACCTCTTCATCGCATAACGTGGACCGCTAGAGTAAAAGCCAGAAAGTTGGAATATGATTATCCTAAACCCTCTATGGCAAATTACAAGGTATCCTACCCTGAAACCATATTCCAACTTTCTGGAGTTCCCTTGAAGGAGGTGCCTAGTTCCCGATTTGGGCTATTTATTTGGGCTCGGATGCTACGAACCTGTCTGGGCTCCATGGCATTAGCCACCCTGGCCTGTTGGAACTGTGAGAGTTTAGCAAGCTAAGGGCAATGAAGGTTTTGCAGAATGTGCAACGCTTACATGCCCTGAGGATCCAGGTTCCCAGAGCTGTGTCCCTAAAGTCACTATTTTAGGAGCCCCTCCAGGGCCTAGGTAATATGGGAGTTCGGGGTACCTTATTCCGGGGTCCTCATAATAAGCCATATCGCATATGGGGTTTTCGAAAATAGGGGACCCTAACATAGTGCCCTAAGTAGTAGGATCCTAGTTATAAGGACCCCAAAATAAGGTACCCTAAGTTTTTTATACCGGTACGAAGGGGTGGCCAGGGAAGTGACTCAAGGGAGTTGGGTTTGAGGGGGAGGTGCCCAGACCTTCCAATAAATAAGGAATATACCCTAAATCATCTAATTTCAGGTTTAAGCTTAATTAACGGAGATTGGAAGGTTTTGGCGGGGCCTGCCATGGGTGAGAGCGGTCTTCACAAAGAATTTGCAGACTCCGCCCTCAAGGGCGGATCGGCAGATCGACATGTTGAACTGATGACTTAGTGGCCCCAAGCCCAACTTTTCAATTTTTAGGGCTCCTATGAGGTATATAGTCTTACTGGGAAATTTGGGTTGTTTCCCCGATAGGCATTTGGGAAGTTGGATGAATGATTATCCATAGGCCCCATAGCAGTTCCTTTTTGGGACTACCTTATAGGATTCTAAGCATGAACCCCCAAAAGGCCTACGGGTAGGGCCCCTAAAGGAACCCTAATAATTACCGTAGACCATGTGAGTTACCATGGAACCCTATGATACCTTAGAAGCTGCCCCCACCCTGTAATAGTGGTATAATAGGAATATAAAAGGGCCCTAATTTAATCCTATATAATCCTTATGGTCACTATTACAGGGTGGGGGCCCCTTCCAAATGATACCTAAACCCTAAACCCTAAACCCAGGAAGATGTCTACCTCAACTTCGGATGCGACGAGGTCTCTCCCCAGGACCTGCTCTTCGGCAAGACCACGCAGTGCTGGCAGGCCGGGCTGTGCCAAGGCTACATGGGAGTTTCCGAAAACACTAACAAAGTACCCTAAATAGCAGGATCCTTATTATAAGGACCCCAAAGTAAGGTACCCTTGGTTTCGGAAACTCCCACAAGTGTTTCTTTTGTGCTTTGAGATGTTGCCGTGCAGTAGGATGGTATTGCATTGCAGGTTTCCTGCTGTGAGAAGCCTTTCATGACGTCCCTTGACGACATTTCACGAAGCGCAGTATAGCAAATCTGTTTTCAGCGTCGTTCTTTACATTGACAGTACAACCATCACGGTGCAATGACTTAAAGACTTGGCACGAATAGGAGTCGGCGCTCCCTGTTGGTTTCCATAACAGCCCCTTGTCCCGCGATTGCAATGCACAGATGTCTGACGAAGAAGGTGCAATATGGGAGTTTCCGAAAAGAGGGGGCCCTAATATGGTACCCTCAGTAGTAGGATCCTTGTTATAAGGACCCCCCAAATAAGGTACCCCGTATGTTTGGAAACTCCCATATCTGTCCCTTGTTCCCACACACTCATCCGATATTCTACTTGGAGGATCATGGGACTTAGTAAGTAAGGTTACAAGTACCTTAATCGGGGTTATAAGGAATTATCAGTATAGTTACCCTATTTATAATCCTATAATCCCAAATACTAAGTCCCATGATCCTATAAGTAGACCCTAAACCCTAAACCCCATAGACCCCTTTAAGGAACCCTATATAGATCCCTTTAAGGCCCCCTTTTTAAGGCCCCATAGATCCCGACACTCTGAGCCGAAACCCTGAGCCCTTTCAATCCGCACTCCTGGACCCGGAAACCTTCAGCTGATGCGGTTGATGACATAAATCCTAGGGTTCCTTTAAAGGATCTATAAGGGTACCTTTACAGCGTTCGTTTAAGGGATCTATAGGGTATTGGGTTTAGGGTTGGTGATATAAATCCTGCATTACCCAGTGTAAGGGATATACCATATTTCCCATAGTCTACTTGGAGGCCCTTTTGACTTAGTAAGTCTACTTAGTATCCCGTAGAAACCCTATTAGCAACCCCATAACCCACCTTACTAACCCTACTTACTAAGTCAAAAGGGCCTCCAAGTAGGGTCCTTAAGGCAATGCAGGATTTATATCATCAACAGTATGTCTATCTCCGCGATATTCGAAGGGCCCTGGGATGTAGTAAGTACGGGTATCATTAGGGTGACTATACTTCTTAGGGTTTAGGGTTTAGGGTTTAGGGTTTTTTCTGATTGCTTATAATCTCAAAAAGGTACGCACAACTTTACTTAATAAGTCCCATGATCAACCAAGCATAAATTTTCCTTTGCCTGCTCTCCGGAGGTCCGCATTTTCGCCAGGACAGCAGTGACAGTAGCCTCTGGGAGTTTCCAAAAATCAGGGTACCTTATTATCGGGTCCTTATTCTTTGGATCCTATCTAGGGTACTGTATTGGGGTCCCCTATTTTCGGAAACTCCCATATAGTGCGTCGTCAACGCTGTCAGGTTCAGAATTGTAGGGCTTGAAAGTTCAAGGGGGTTTCTTGAATACCGTAAGCCCTATTCCATAAACCGAACCTTTCGGAAACTCCCATATAAGAGACTCAGAGGGATTGTAAAGCATATTGTCTCAGGGGTACTTAGAAACATTTTTTAAAAAATTGGTTAGTATACTCCCTAAGAAACAGTTAAGTTACATTTTTCTAGGGTTCTAAGTTCAGTATAGTTGTAGCTACTTGGATCTAGGGGCGAGCAAGCTCAGCTCTGACCATGACTGACAGGTTTGAGGAAGTTGGGTGCCTAAGCCCGAAACCCCTGTCGAGCAGAGAAGAGTCTGCGATTGTCCTTACTTTCATAGGGATCCTTAGGGGTGTAGGGGGGAGGGGTGTAGGGGACTATATTTCCTTAACTAGGCCTTATTCGTCCTTATTATGGGCCTTAAGGCCCCCTACCCCGCCTCCCCCTACACCCCTAAGGATCCCTATGGTGGAAACTTCGACCGACCAGTCCACTGAAACCACACTGCAAGTTGAATGCTGCTCCGCACGGGTTCCTGCGCCCCTAAACCCTAAACCGCGTTTGAAGCTCTTGAAGCCGAAGATGGCGCAGTCTCCAGACGATGGCTTCTTCTCGCAAGATGTCTTAACGCTTGAACGAAGTGATATGAAACCACGTCCCCTCGAAAAGTGGCCTAATTATTCTATAGTATGATCATAACTAGTAATGTGAAATAGATATAGCATTGTAAGTATGGCTTAATGTCGTATAGAGCCATATTCCTTAATGCGACTGAGGGTCTTCCTGGACCCGGACTCTAATAAGGAGCCCTTTGGGGGGTCATGGTATACCTTCAACCCTAAGCCGCCAAACCCCTAAACCCTAAACCCTGAACCCTAAACCCTAAACCGTTCCAAGAGGTTTTGCACTCTCCCTAGTCGTCCCTTTTTTGGTTAACCAAAAACTATATTGTAGGATCCTAACCATCAAAGTGCTTAACCAAAATAGCACTACAATAGAGACTGTAGATGGGAGTTTCCGAAAGCTAGGGGTACCTTATTATGGGGTCCTTATAATAAGGATCCTACTATTTAGGGTACTATATTAGGGTCCCCTATTTCGAGAAACTCCCAAATCCTAAACCCTTGTAGAGCCCTTTAAAGGAACCCTTATGGTACCCCTATAGTAGCCCTTTTAACGGAACCCTACTGAAAGGCTCATAGGACTTAGTAAGTAAGGTTATAAGTAGGTTAATTAGGATAACCCCACTTAGGGGACTTATAACCCCAATTATAACCTACTTACTAAGTTTTCGGAAACTCCCAGATCTGGTCCTGAGACCGGTTTCCAGGAGTGGAAGAGCGTGTGGATAGCAGCTTGGCGTTTATCAAAGGGGAAAAGGAGGGACCCTTAAGGGGGGGTTTAGGGTTTAGGGGTTTAGGGGTTTAGGGCTTAGGGTTATCAAAGGGAAAAAGGAGGGACCCTTAATGGGCACCCCTACCCAAGAATGGGCTATATAATGGGTATAGAATAGCTATATTAGGGGTATATATACCTTGGGGTCCTTATTAAGGGTCCCTCCTTTCACCCTTGGCGTGGTAGGGTTTGCAGTTCCTTTGAGGGTTCTTCTTACGGGATCTATAGGGCTTTAGGGTTCAGGGGGTTCTGGTCTTTTAATGGGATCTATAGGGGTTTAGGGTTATATAAGGGGTTTCGGGTTGAGAGTTTATAGTAAACCCCAAAATTTTCAAGCTGGATTCAGGCCAAATAGTGCTGGGATTCCCTATGCATGACTCTTAAGGATTGAGGCTGTTGGGTTCCAACTTTTGGGCTGCTACTGTAGGGTTTAGGGCAACCTGTGCATGCTTGTGATAGGTTCGAGGGTTCATACTGTTGATGATATAAATCCTGCATTACCTTAAGGACCTAAACTATGGGAATTATGCTGTATTCCTTATTATGAGTAATGCAGGATTTATATCATCAACCGTACTTAAGGGCTTACGGGGTAGGGTTTTCAGAGGATGTGGGTCAGGATTTCGGGTGCTGCAGTTGTTCGGCTGAGCTTCGAGGAATCTTCTGCCCCTTACAGTGTGCCAGAGGCATGCAGTGGATTAGATACACAGCCATGTGGGGGTATGGAATTTTCAGCAAGCCGCATGGAGCCAGACTACGAGGCAGGTACTTAAAGGCTCATGGGACTTAGTAAGTAAGGTTATAAGTACCTTAATAATTGGGGTTATAAGTTTATAAGTACTTATAAGTATAATTACCCTCTTTATAACCCCAGTTACTAAGTCCCATGAGCCATTAAGTAAGAGACTTGCACCCCCCATGGTGACGCACCTCGAGGCAGTTTCGATCTTCTTGTGTTTGTCTTGTCGGGTGACCCTAAACCCTAAACCGTAAACCCCAACCACAAGGCGCCAGGTGGGCTTAAAAGGGCTTCCATATTAGAAAAACACCATTGTTAAACTTATCAGTATTATTCTTCTTCTTACTATTATGATGTATATATATTATATATACATACATACATACATACATGCATACATATGTATACTCACACGCACGCGCACACACACCCACACTCACTCTCACTGACTGTATATGCACATGGAGCCTTAGCCTATACCCTAAGCTGGATCCAGCCCATCAGACTCTGGCTGTGGAACAGAGGAGATCGAGCCGTCCAGGGTCCCCTTTAATCCGAGGGGCCCTACAAGGGTATCGTAGGATTTCAATCTTAGGGGTTTGGAGTTTAGGATCCTCACTTGGAGGATCATTGGACTTGGCGTAAGTGCGGCTGCAAGTACTCTAATTAACTGGGATTGCAAGGAAACTATTTATGAGTAGAGCTACCCGGCGACTAAAACTCTAGTTAGTGCATCCCATGATCCTAAACGTTGAGCTGCGAAGTACTTTGCTGTTGGAGAGCTTCCAGAACCCCATGCAAGCCCATCTCCGGTTTAGGGTTGAGGGTTTCCGCCACATTCAACTGAGGCAGGCAAGTATGGCTACACTTGCAAGAAAGTTGGTTCGGGGTTGGCACGGGCATGTTTTGTAGATAGGCAGGTTCGCGCTGTCAAAGCGTTTATACTTTGCAGCCAGACGAAGGTTGCGAAATAAGCGCCTACAGCGGCTTGGTGTTTGGGAGATGCGGCATAGCATGAACGAGAGTCAGTCCATCTGTTTGATGTTTGCTGTCGCTACGTAGTCCTTGCATCCTTAGGTACCCCAGCATCTACTACTATACTACACTATACTATCCTATGCTATACTACACTGCTACTGCTACTACTACCACTACTACTACTAAGTACTACTACTCGTATCTCCAGCACCACTGCCCGCTGTGTTATCAGTGGCTAGCCACTCCTACCAGCATCAAGTATCATCTCACCATGCAACATCCAGAGTGGAAAGACTGCCAACCTGCGACTCTCAAGCTTCTTACTGGTTTCCGCCGACATACTGTTGTTCCATGTCGCTACTGTCATCAGCGAAACATCAACAAAGATCGTCATTGGAAACAGTGTCATGTCTTGCATATCTGTGCATTTCTAGCAGCGCACCATGACGCTCGGCGCGGATCCCATGGAGCTGGACGAACAGGAGAGGCAATTTTGGGCCCAGGCCGGTCCGGTCAAACGGGAACAGGAACCGAGAAGAGATGTGCTGCATCAAACCGAGCACTCCAAGAGGCAGCGTCTGGCACCACAGGACCGGAACAAAGGCAAGGGCAAGGGTACCAAGGGCAAAGGCAAGGGAAAGCAGGGCCTACCAAGTCCATCCAGTGCCAACCCGGTCACGGGTTACACAAATGGTTTCGGAAGCCATCCACCCAATCCCTGGACACAGACTCAGGACCTGCAGCCACTGGGAAGTCAAGATCCAGACTGGATGGAGTACAGGATGAATCGACTATCTCAGCTGGTCCTTCGACAGGAGCAAATCATCTCAGCCATTCGTCAGGATCTGGTCCTCTACCTCTTTGTACGATCAGGGCCAGAAGGGATGGTACCAGTTCTCTGCGAAGCAGCGGAGAAGTGGAGGAAGATGAAAGAGGAAGAACCCGAGAAGATTACTTACTCCCTCAAACTCATGCTCTTCAAGCAGCTGCTCATCACCCTACACCAGAGGTTGACCAACATGATCGCGGACGAGGATGCTCTCGCCAAAGCCAAGAACCTGAACTGGATCGACGATCAGAAACATTGGAAACATCTTACATGGAATCCTACCAAACAATGTCTGGAAGTCGACAACTCGGTGAGGCCAATACCGGCGGAAGATCTGTTGGCTCAACTGGTTCAGATGAGGAAGGCAGTTACGGAAGAGACCCTGGTGAGGTTCAAGTCCATGCGGAAGCTCACCACGGAGGTGACCTCCGACTGGATCCAATTCCAGATCTGCATGTCACTTCGCCCAGAGGGAGGAGCCATGTGGAGCACGCTGAACCAGTGGATCGGACAAGCATCGTGGCACACCCTGGGCTGCAGGCTCCGTCGCGATCGACCGAACTACGACACCCTGGTCCAGGAAGTATGGCAACATCAGATGCCATACTGAGTGCGCGCCCTAGTCTCAAGGCCGTCCTTCGATTGATTTTCCACAATCCATCAAATCTGTGCTACCTACACTCTACCATCTATGCCCTTCTGTGGACAATCCTTCAGGCTAGGCTGCATGATGCCTACGTCTCGCCTCCACCGCAGGCTCTTACCATGCTGTGTCCACCAATCACTGCCACACCTAATTGCCCCGTTCAGGTGCTTCATTCGGTACCGTGGCTTATGCTGCTGCAAGCTTGGCCTTCTGTACATCGTCAGCATGATGCAGCTGAGCTGTTACAATACCTCTTACCCAGGTTCTCGCATAGTGGGTTCAATGGTGGCTGGGAGGCCAGAAACTTCGTACCTGGAGGTATTGCCACTCTTGACAAGGGGCCTACCCAAGCTCCCATCCCGATTGCGCTACCGGCAGGTCCAAGCTTGGAGCTCCAGGCAGCCATTGATGGGTGGAGTGCTCAGGTTACAGCTCGTTATGCACTGCTGACTCCGTCTCCCATGCTCTGCATACAGCTTCAGCGCTTCACAAATGCCGAGGGAGTCATGCGCAGGGACACCAGACCACTGGTTGTGGCCTCGACTACAGTTCGTATGCCACTCTTTACAGGTCTGCACACTATGCAAGTTCGCTATGTCCACTACCAGGTCGTCGCTGTACAGCTTCACTACGGGGCCACTCCTGATATGGGGCATTACAGAACTATCCTACGAGGACAACCGCTGTTTGGAGCAGAAAAGTGGTGGATCACTGATGACTCCTGCACCGCAAAGCCAGCCAGCACAGAACACGATGACAACATATACATAGTGTGGCTACGTCAGGTACTACCTCCTGGTGCCTGACGCTGAGCAAGTGTAGTCTTAGTCGATGGAGCTGGCACTGCCCTCCAGAACCCAAAAGAGGTTCCGATACCCCGAAAACCGGGTTATCGTCAGCTCGCTAGGCGAACCCGGACACTTCGCTGCGTGGTGAATGAATAAGTACTACTACTACTACTACTATTATTACTACTACTACTACTACTACTACTACTACTACTACTACTACTGCGACTACGACTACGACTACGACTACGACTACGACTACGACTACTACGACGACTACTCCTACTACTACTACTACTGCTGCTACTACTTCTACTACTGCTACTACTGCTACTGCTTCTGCTACTACTACTACTACTACTACTGCTGCTACTACTGCTGCTGCTGCTGCTGCCGCTGCTGCTGCTGCTGCTACTTGCCATTGCTTCTGCCGCTGCTACTGCTACTGCTGCTGCCACTGCTGCTGCCGCTGCCGGTGCTGCTGCTGTCGCTCCTGCTGCTGCTTCTGCTGCTCGTGCAGCTACTACCACTGCTACTGCTATAGTGTTGCTGCTCCTCCTACTACTACTACTACTACTACTACGACTACGACTACGACTACGACTACGACTATTTTTCAATTGAACGCTGCGCGAGCGTGCTCTGCGCTTTGCGGGCGCCTTTGGTCTCATGCACTCGTGAAACTGCTTCTAGCATGCATCGCTCAGGTCTCTCTAATCAGCTCGAACTTGACATACTACTGCAACTGCTACTGCTACAAAAAGCTTCCTTCTCCGACACCTTGGTGTGAACAGACGCGTCCATCTGTGCACCTGTCTCAACAATTAGGCCGTACCTCAGACGAAGCCGCCACCTGGAGTATCCGTCTCGTGGCGTCCCACACGGATTACTCATGTTGAAGACAGAAGGCCGTAAGGGTCATGTGCGGATGACCGCTGGTACCTGAAGCAACTCCGGTGGCGTGAGACTTTGGGCA